AACTACAAATACTTCAAAATATATCTATCTTCCTAGCATCCATGACGATTTTATCGATATGTTTACTTAAACTCATTCACTTAACGAATAATATTCAGAAGCTATAAGATCAATGTGATACATAAAATATTTTAAGATTTTTCATGCTAAAATTTTCAACCAGAATTATTGTAAAAAACTATTGCCCACAAAATAAATATATTGTAATAAATATAACAAAATAAAAATAAAACAAAAGTGGAATAATGAGTTAATTTTTTTATCAAATAAGATCTATTATATTCAGAATTAAGAATGAATTTTAATGAATTCTATAAACTATAATATTTTCTCATAAACTTGCTTGAGAAGATTTTTAATATTTCTAATATTGAGGCTTCTGTTTAATCTTATTGCATCAGAAAATTACATCAATATTATCAAAATTGACGCTAAAGTTGATAGAATATAATTTATTTATTAATTTCATGTAATCTTTTAGGAAATCCCACATTAGAGTTGTTAAAAACGAAATATTGATAAAAGTCGTCTATTTATTTTAATAGGCTATTGGACGAATTTATCTCTTTTAGTACTAGGGTTCAGATCTTGTTTCTGGTCGGAAAATACCTCGCATTATCTGGCATTATTCGGTTAATGCGGACAATCCATTCACGCTTCTAGCGAGAATTGACCACTTAGCAAAAATTTCTCATGGTACTAGTAGCCAGTGTTGCCAGGTTTGATAAGAAATGGTAAGCAATTATTTAATAGCTTCAACTTAATGAGGAAGAGATACTATTGCATTATCGTTCTGTAATGCATTTCAAATGTGCAACTTTATGCTTAAATGAAAGATATGAAATTCTATATGATTAACAAATAAATAAATTAAGACATTCAATCCGTAAATAGTAAATTCTGACATATTTTTGAAAGCTTAAATTTCAGCAATTTGAAAAATTGATTATTAGTGTCGTCGAAAAAATTTTTTTATTAACAATAATTTTTTCGATTTAAAGTTAATTAAATTAGGTTAATTCTTAATAAATTACTAAATTTGTAAGGCCGAACGAAATAAAATGCAAATTTGTGATTTTTGACCAAATCTTAGCAATTTTGAACAAAACAAAATTCCTAATTTTCAGCTTGAATTTTTTAAATTAATTAATTAAAAATTCTAAGATATATTGCGCATTCTTTTAATTTTATTGTTATTTTGGTTCATAAAAAAGCTATAAATACAGATATTTTTAAAAATTTACAATTTTAATAAACAAACGAAATGAACAATGAAATGAACAATTTATTAAAAATTTATAAAAACTCTCACTGCATAATTAATTGTTCTTTTTCATTTATGTTTCACCAATCACCAAAAAAAATTCAAATTTCTCTTCAAATTTCAATAATTCTTTGAAGAATTTTAAATTTTTATGAATATTTTTGTTAACGCTTTAAATTATATTTTTGGAATTTATGAATTATTTAATCTTTTCTTTATTTATTCATTTTTTATTTGCCTTTTTGAATTAAATAAATTAATAAGAATGACTGGTAAAATCTTTTGAAATCAAGAAATGTTTACACACAAATCCAACAATTCCATTTTTGGAATTGATTTACTCGAATATCTATTTAAATGGAAAAAAAATTTTTGGCTGGTATTTGTGTTGAAAATTTATCGAATACTTAAAACGACGAGTTTATTGCATCGATTTATTTTCAAATTTAGACTATCATAAGGTTTGTAATCTGATAAAAGAAAGGATAACATAAATAGCAATATTGATTTCCCTTAAAATTACTTTAATTTATAGCAATTTGCATTAAATTGAAAAATTTTTATTAAATTCTACTATAATTATTTATTTTTATTTTTTAGTGAGAAAAATAATAAATATTTAATAATTTTAAGGGCAAATTGAAAAATATTATTCAAAACAATATCAATTTGAAATAATCTAAACTGATTATTCCTAATATATTCCTCTATGACAATTTTCCTTTATAAAAAGCTAAACTGATTATCCTTTAAAAATTTATTGAAAGAATCCTTTAATGCTTTAGTGAATGAATAATGTTCGAAATCTGCACTTGCATTTATTTATAGTTCAACCATTTAATCTAAATTTTATTTCATCAAATTTCATTTAAATTATTTATTTATTATGGAATATTTTTTTTATAGTTCGAATATGTTTGCTTTTTTCGTATTTTAATAGATAATTAGTTTCAATTAATCGGTTAATCAATGAGCATTTGAAATCATTTTATTTTACACATTCTAAAAAGCTATCTAAGAAAAGATTATCAAATCTTAGTAGTCGGCCGAAAAAGTAAAAAAATTTTCGCGATATATAAATATGCTTCCACTGGAAAGTAGACTTAGGATCGTTTTTTTTCCTTGTTATTCTATTGTTATTGTTGTTCTATTATACGTTCTGTTCTTCTCATAATGATAAAAATTGTTGTTGTTCAAGAAGCCTCACCAATACTGGCTTATACCGCTGGCATGTCGCACTATGTCAGGGAGCTTTTGACGATAGGAAATACAGGCAAGTCGCCAGCATCACCCAGATTTTTAAAATATAGGTTTCTTGCCGGGATTAGAACCTCATCATCGAAGCTCCAAATTGAGCAACAAACCACTCTTCTTTGCTTTTCTCCATTAGGCGAAAATTTCGAATGTGTGTCGACGAATTCGAACTCAAGATTCTGATTCTCGGTTGCAATTATCTTTCCATTGAAACGCCGACGATCTCTAAGTGATAAAAGTGCAATTTTATAATATAGTTTCATTGTCTATAATTGGGGAATAATTATATTTCATCAGATATTTCAATATTTTTGACAGGTTTTTGTTAATTTTTGTCAGTGAATTCTCTTGAATTTTTTAAAATTTTATTTGCACATATTATCGATTATTTATTTACGATTTTTCTTTTATTTTAAATAATTCAATTTGCTATTTTATCGAATTTTTATCGAATTTTTGCATGAAAATATTACATAAAAATATTTTCTTAGCGGTTTTCACATAGTTGTTTTTGTTTTTTTTTATAAAAAATTTGTGAAATATGATTAGTGCTTATAAATTATCAGATTCAGTTAAATAAACATCGTATTCAGCAATATCTTTTATTCTCAACTTATTTTTTTGGATTTTCGACATTTCACTTGGAATTATTCATTAACTTAATGTCGGTATCATTGATTGTATATGGATGACTTCGCAAACTTATGTCAACGTTGCAGTTCAAATACAATTTGGCAATGAGGTCAGCAAATTTCGCCTATTTTTGCTTATTTTTACGTTTAAATGTTTTTTTATGATATTATTTATTATATATTTATTTATTATATATTTTATTTTTTTATAATATTTTAGTTTGAATTTATTCAAAATTTATCTTATTCGCTCCAAAAATTTTCATTCTTTTAGCAAATTTTACGAAATTTTTTTTTTTTTGCAATCTAATTGAAAACTTTAATTTCTATTTATTTTATTTATTTTATTTTTAGTTCCAAAATACTTACCTGGAACTCGCCAAGTCTTTCTCTACTGAAACTTAAAACACCCGGCGAGAGAGTAGTCTGAATTGTGTTGCCTGGTTATTGCACTAAGCACAGCCGGTACGAGGATCTCCTTCCAACACTTCATATATGCACGTCTGGCACCAGTGAAACCCTCATGCGTTCATCACATATGAAGTGTGCCGTTTTTCTAGTACGAACCTTATTACGCCACTCTCCTGCTAGAAGATTCACATAACGTAGTACCTTTTCTCACACCTTCCCAGGATTTCCTTGGATTTTTTGAAATTTTTCTCAATTATTGAAGAAATTTTTCGGAAATCATTATCACTTCACTTCTTAATATTCAATAAATGTCCCCTATTGAATGATGAATTAATTTTTAGCTTAAGAAAGCTATTTTATTTCAAACGGACTTAAAAAGATTTCTTTGCGATATTTTGCCAAAATTTAATTATTTTAATAGGCTTATTATTGCTAGCGGCTTTTTTAGTTAATCATTTCAAATTTTAGATTTTTTTCTGGTCTGAGGAGAGAAATTATTTGATTCCTCCTAATTCTAAATCACCTTATTAATAATATAATTATCAATGTGAATTAAAGAATGCATTTTGCATAAAATTCTTGTAAGAAAATAATCTTACAATAAGTTCAAATTAAACATACTCGGCCAGAAAAGAATTCATTTCGTTAAGATGAAAATTTTTTTAAATTTTATCTTTAATCATTTATAAAAAATAGCTTCATTAAATGAAAAAATTTTAGGAAATTTTGTAATTTTAATTTAATTTTAACACAAAATTATTAGCTTTAAATTTTTTTTGATATTTGACTTTTTCAATATGTTTTATACGTTTAAACTAAATGCTTCAATCGATTTAATATACAACATTATGGCTATTAAATATAATTAAATTGAAATTTTCGAAGCTATTTAAAACTTCGAAATAATTATTCTCAATTTTTCTCTCTATTTTTGAAAAAATTTTTCATTGAATCTAAGAACAGAATTGTAGAAGAGCGATAAATTGATTCGTATCAGAGGGTTGGGGGCATTGTAATTGCATTAAATCATTAATGATTCGACTAATATCTCTAGAAGAATTTACTAAATCACTAAAACTGAGATAAATCCGGTTGGTGCTCGGGAGGCACCTCTATCCTTGGTATGAGCTACTTCTATCGGGCTAAGTTATCTCATCCTAGCAACCAACTGAGTCATCTAAGTCAAAAAGAATAAGCGATGTTAGGAGAAAGAAAAACAGATTCGTTAAATTGGATTCAATGGCCACTCGATAAGATTTTTTCATCAGAAACGAACTGAGGATAGAGAGAGATTTACGGATGGCTCCCCACCAGCTTCTCTCTTTTTTCCTAAAATTGTCGGTCGAATGCAATTGTATTAGATGAGAATATCTTTAAATTCGGCGAAATAGTGATTCTTGGAAATTCTTTATTTTCCTTTAAATTTATTTTTTCTTTTTTTGCAGACTACCATTTCTTCATTTATTGATACGAAATGGCGTATTGCCATTTGCTGCCTTATACTTCTAATAATCGTCGTTGTTATCGGCAATTTTTTTGTTATGGTCATCATAACATGCGATCAAAAATTACGAAGGCTTACAACAAATAAATTTATCGCAAGCTTAGCAGTTTCAGATTTACTTGTAGGGATTGTTGTTATGCCGTTATCACTTTACGAAAAGGTTAGAAGTTTATGATATTTCGTTTAATTCTCAATAAATTCGCGTTTCCAAAATGAATTGCGTGAATAAAATTTAGCTTTTGCATTCCACAACCTTCTCAAATTGCGTTTCATTTAGATTATTTGATACAAAAAGCATTCATTTTTTCATTCTTATTTTGTGAAATTTTCTTCGTCTCATTGAGAATTTATTGCTATAAAATGTTTATTTCAATATAAAATTTTAAATTCTTTTTCAGTAGATAATTTACTCAGTAGATATAATGTTTGATTTAATTTACATATTTCAAATTAGACAAATTAGAAGAATAACAGTTCAATTAAAAAATGCAAATTATTATTAATACATGCAATATTTTATCGATAATTATCCAAGAGAAAATTGTAGATCGAAAATTAAAATCTTTTCCAGTTTTATGGTAATAAATGGGTTCTTGGGTTTGGTTGGTGTCAATTTCATTTGATCACTTTTATCTTTTCAACTACTGCGAGCATCATTCACTTGGTAGCCATTAGTATTGACAGGTATTTTTTAAAATAAATGTTAAGAGAAATTATTCTATTTGCCATAAAATTCAATATTATAAATATAAGAATTATTCCTTGTAATTACTAGTATGCCCAGTTGCAAATTTTCTAGTGAAATTGAACTATATTAGCAAAAGCTGAACAAAATACTGCAGTAATATGGGAGAAGATCATTGCTTTTTAAATAGTGGCATATACCAACTAAGTTTGGAGAAAAAATTTTCAAAACTAGCCTTATACTTAGCAAGTTCTATCGAAGTTTATGTTTAGATTAATATTCAAAATAAGGACCATTGAAAAAAGCCTTTTGAATTATGATGCTATGATACAAAAAAATTTATTGCATGTCATTTATTTCTTGAATTTGTCAAATTTTTATATTTAGGTATTTTGCAATAATGTTTCCGACCGAGTATCAGCGACATTCAATAACGACTAGTGTTGTACCTTATTTAATCATGATTTGGGGAGTATCATTCGCCGTAAGTAGTACTTTATTAATGGAGCAAAATCTAGATGCCAATGATGTTTGCTGGATCGAAAATTCACAATATTTGGTAATATATTTATAATATTGTTTAGAATTCTTTATTAACTGATGTGATCGTATTTTGCAACGATTAAGATGGAATAAAATAAATTTTTACCTAATTTCAAATTTATGAAATAAACAATTTAAAGAAATTTTTTATTAATAATGCCATCATTGATTGATTATCATTTTTTATTAAATATGGTGATTTATAGGTTCTGTCGTCTCTTCTGTCATTCTTCGTTCCTGGTGTCATTGTCGTTTATCTATACATGAAAATATTTATACAATTACATAATCATCGACTTTATATGTGTGGTAAAATATCGCGACAGCAAGGACAGGAAAAAACTGCCAAACGATCTCTTCCACGAGTCATTATCGAAGAGGTTCGTTTTTTATTATTTTTTATTAATGATTGATTAATTCTCCGCTCATATTGTTGAATTATACTTGTCATTTCCTCTAAATAAAAGTGAGAAAAGAAAACATCTTGATAAACTCGAATTGCGTTGGGGGTCTGTTAACTACCGTATATTCTAAACTCGCTACTCGCTTATCAATGTATCTGTATTTATTTTATAACTTAGAAATTCTCTTGCCAACAAATTCTCTTCCAAAAAGTGATATAATCATAGCCTGTGGGGTGTGAACAGATGCAATAATGCTATTGCATATTCTTTAGTCAGTAAAGTCAAGCTCCTTCTTCTGTTGTAAAGCATGGATTCTGTCATCAAGACATATTTTCAGTATACTGCCATAAAAAAAATCGTGAGATTACGTTAGATTCTCCGGACAGCCGATATTTAAACTGGACTGACCGTATTCTAGTTAATCATCGTTGGACGGAGTTTTATATTAGAAGTCGTTCGTATTACGGTGCTGAAGATGGCGTATTTAACGGACCAAGCTGTGGTTAGAGCAATGTTTGATGAATTCAGAGTTTTAAATCTTAGAGTTAATAAATCTTTGCACTGTCCTTTTCATTCTCTTCTTTAAATTATCCACAAGCTTACAGATACAGGTGATTTTTATTCTGGCGTTGTTTTTGGAACTTGTCGCTCTCACAAGATCCTTTCAGTAATAATGTCTTTATTTCCGAGTCGACAGAGGCATTGGGCATAGCAAAGATGGCAGCAATCGGCTACTCACAACAAGATTGGCCCATTATTCATTGAAGTTCTTGTTGTACCTCCTATAATTATTGAATTCGGCAAAGGTTATCGATTCGGCAAAGGTTATATTGAAATCGACCAAAATCTCCGAAAGAAAACCAGTTAGGTTGAACTTTCGATAAGGGCAACTAAAGACCGCTTTTTAAGGATTCTAATCGTTTCAAGGATTCAGTTTCGGCTTCGAAAGCATGCAAAATTCCAGTAGGTTCCACTGGATTTCGTCTCTTTCTGATGCATAAAGCTGATACAGAGCAATAAAAGATAAAAATGGAATAAAATGGAGTGCCCATTGCAACTCTCGACCATCGTCTTTCTGGATGAAATGCGCCAGCTATCATTTCACTAATCTCAAATAAATGTTTTACACGCTATCTTATTGCGACCATGAACTACCAGTGGAGCATGATTTCCTTAATTCTTGAACATTTTTGGAGAGACCTATTTCCACAATGAAGTTTTCATGTGATCTGGCGTATTTTCGAACCCCTTTCGCTGGTATTACTCACTGGTATTAATAAAATAGCTCTAAAGTGGCTTTGAGCAAAACAGATTTGCTCCAATTCTTAAAAAAGGTGATAAGGCTATAACGATTATCGCGAATCGAGAAATCAAAGCACTGGTTTTGAAAAAATTTTTTTTCCATCTTTTTGCTAAATAGATCGTAGCATTACACATTAACCAAGGCGTTTAGGCTAAAGCACGAGTGTGTCGATCAAATATTCATGCCGAAAAATAAATTGGAATTCTGCCCGTCGGCAGCCTGCGTTATTTTATTACTGCTGCCTTCTGCTCAATAGATAGAGAGAGTCTTGGGAGTCGTAATACAGCAGTGATATAAACAAGACTATCCGATTTATTAAAATATTTTACAAGAATACATCAGCGCAAATCTACATATCAGCACAACTTTTCGAAATAAGAACTAGCATATGTCGCTCGCCTCTAGCGCTGTCGATACTCTAGAAATGTACAAATTAGCCCACAACATTATATCATGGAACTTGATCACCCTGACGATGTAATGCTTTTTATTAAAAAGACTGTAGTAGAGGCTACGGCTAAGAAGTATATCAATATCAATATCAATACAGCGAAAATCGAATATGCGAACAAATTTAGCTAGTTCATTCGAGATGATCACAAAACTCTTATTATCTTTCATACCAGACGGATAAACTATACATTCTCATGGATACATCGCTGATTGAAAAAGTGCCACTTCTCAAATATCTCAGATCCATTCTATTATCGAATGGTCAGACGATATACTGAAATGGAGACTTGATAGTTCTAATTGAAAACATTACCTACAAGAAAAACTATTATGGAATCACTGAGAAATTATTATGCATTTTGATTATAATAATTAGTCAATTATTCAACATTATAACAGTTATTAATTATCAAAATGATATTTCGTATTTATCTTACTGCTTCTTTCATACGGTAACGAAGCTGCATATGGACTTGCAAGCGACCTGTCTCAGTTTGCAGATTCACTGGACTTATAATGTTAATTCCATCAAAAGTGCTTTTTGTTTCATATAAAAAGTGGGATTCGCAATCATTTAGTCTTTATTACAGGTGAAAAGTAGGAGAGGTTCACGATTAAGTCAAAGTGGAAGTAATGCGGGTAGTCCCACTGGACTTGCTAATTCAGCAACTCATCGCAAATCCGAACGATCACCTAGTCAACCTGAAATATGCAATAAGAAAGTGATATCAAGCAGGTAACGTGGTTTTTCGAATCTTTTTCATGTAACTTTGATCAATTTTTATATTTAGATGGCGTTCTCCAACAATTTGTGCAGAAACGTTAGATCATGATCGGTTTATGGCTTCCCAGAAACGAATAAGCATTGTTCCAGACCCTCCAAGCGTGGATGCTGCATCCATGATTTGTGAATTGAAGGAAGAACAATTAGCGAATTTACAGCCTTCTCAAAGCTTTTCTGTTCCTGATAAAGGTTCCATTTTAGATAAGACATAGTTTGCAATACTTACTGAAGAAGCGCGTACTAATTAGAGAAACCGACTTATTAGATCAAAAAAATTGATTATCAAAGTCAAGGGGCTATGGTTTGGACTAAATTTGTTATTCATGAGCAGAAATCATGGCGAATAGAACGAATAAATAGATTTCAGCAATATGACGGGGCATTTTTACATCTCATTATAGAATGCTTATCCTTGTGGCATGAATAATTGGGAGCGTTATTTTAAAAAGAACTAGATCTACAGCTCGATATTTTGCATTTAAATAAGCTATATGTAGGTGATAATTCAATGATTTAAGATGAAGTACCATCAAAGTAGCACAGTAAAGCAGTGCAAAATGGATTTGAATGATCGAATCTCTTACTAGAGCAATGTCCATTAGGAAATCTTAAAAAAGAAATATGAAAATTCTTGAAATTTTTTTTTTTCGATTGTTTTGCACCATATTCACTCATCAGAATATTTATATAAGTAATTTCTTAATTAAACATTCGAACTTTTTTCTTTTTCATTGTTTTTGATAATTTTTGCGATAATTTTCTATATTTCTTAAGAAATAAAGAAAAGTTATTTAAGCAAGTGAGATAACGGAAAAACAATTAAATTTTTTAATAATATTACAATAATATAAACATAAATATTTATATTGCAATAATATAAATAAATACATTAGTAAAATATTTAGTTATAAATGATTAATGGTTTTCTATAATTTTTTCCCAATTTATAATTTATAGTTATAATTTTTTTTTTTTGCTCTTATTTTTCGCACAGCAATTTGAATAAAGAAATTATCATTTTAGGTTGTCATCCTCGATTGAATTCTCAACTATCTACAGTTTTTGATGAAGAATTTATGGATTGTGAACAACAGAATAAAGCGATTCAAGATGAAAAAGATTCTTGTGCGATAGAAAAATCACCAAAAACGCTGCAGCCATTTAAAACTGATCACAATACACTTAAGCCTACCAGTAGTCTGCCTGGGTATTTATTATTCATTGTTTTGTGAATTTTTTTGTCAAAGCTAAAATTTAGCCACTTTATGTTTCAGAATTCGTTCAAGAACACCAAACAAATTGGTTCCGCCTCAATTATTATTGCCTGGCTTAGGTCCTTTGAAAGCAAATAGTCCACCGCCTTCACCAATGACTTCTTCGAACGTTCTTGAAAATATTAAGCTACAGGTTTGAATGATAGATTAGAATAGATTTCGCTTTGTTTGTTATTCAGCATATTAAAAATGCAATCAAACCTCATGGGATAGCACAATTCTGAAAATTATTCTTTCTACTGATTATTTTATTTTATTACAGGTACCAAAACGATATGATGCTTCATTGTCACACTTTAATATCGGAAACTATAGCCTGAATTCAAGCCGAAGTTCATTTACTTCAGGAAGTGATGAAACGTATCGGTACGTATCGTGTGTATATTTGTAGTACTAGTAGCATAAAACATCACACCCATTTATATTTCCGATAACTTTTATATTTCTGATAAATTAACTCAAGTCAATTTATATAGTTTCAATTGTTGTAAATTTTTATAGGCGTGTATCGATGAATAGTTATGGAAGCAGTTTTACAGATGGCACTGATAGCACTTTTGATATAGATTCAAGGTATATATAAACCATTTTATGCCAAAATAGCAAGCCACAAAAATAGTTCTGGTTAGGCTAAATTCATTGACTACTAATATGATAACAAATTTTTGCCAAGGATTTATCTGATTGATAGAAGTGTAATGGCCACAAACCAGATTCAGTAGCACGCAGTAAATACATAAATGATCTTGTTTAATAGGCATCAATCTCATTCATGTTCAATTTTTGAGCAAATGTCAGTTCTTGTTTTGTTGAAACGAAAGTTATTAGTGCAAGTATTGGATGTCAATTATTTAATCTGATCTATTCATTATAGCCTTCTCGCTACATTTAGGAGATCAAGTGCATGGTCGACAATTAGGACAATAATTTTAGCGCAAAAATTAGTTTCTGGTCTGCAATCATCTTTGAGTTCGGCAACAGAAACAGCTGTTACTGAAAGGCAGCCGCATGCAAGCTGGATAACCAAGAAAGCTTCTGCACGTGACAATCTAAGAAGAATTGCAACTCAGGTAATTGATGAAGTTTTGAATCAATGGTGGAATGAAGTTTAATTTCACAATTGCTAGTTAAGCTTGCTTCACTGGCTGGTCGTACTGGGCAAATCACCTTGGCAACAGAAGTGCAGATGAGTCGCCAGCGTTACCCAGTCCCAGCAGAATTATGAAATTTAACAATTATTAATTGGTTGAATTTTCGGATTTCCCAGTTTGACTAGTTATGCAGATTATTAGAGCAAATCCTTTCTTCTTTCGGTAAAGAATTGAATATAGAAGCAGCCGTAGAATTGTCGACTCTACCTGGATTTCACTTTCGATAAAAAGATTCGCCCAACGCGACTGAGTCCATCATGCTTAACTTCATGATCTAAGCAATCGTCTTTCTGTCAGTTGGTTCCCTAGATTCCAATAATCTTTTTAAATATTTTGTTGGTTATCTTAGATCATGCACAAAATTAAGAAAATGAGGTTGATCGATTAATTTATATTAAAAACTGCACATAAGACTTAAAACCTTGCAATATCTTTGAATTATCATTGAAAATTCCCTGTAAAAAGCTCATTCTTCCTTTTTTTTATCTTTTTGTAGTTCCATGATGATTTTTTGTTGGGTTTTATGCGCTTAGCTGGCATGATACTACTTATTAATGCATGTTAATTGCAGTTCGCTGATCAATATTTAAATATCTTTGATATTTTCCTAAATTATATCCTGCATAAGAGAAATCTTAAGAATCTTTCCATGTTCTAGGTCACTCGAGCAATTCGACGGAAGCGTCGTGAATCGATGGCTATAAGACGAGAATCACGAGCTACTCGACTAGTTGCAGCCATATTAAGTAAGTTGCTATTTTTGAATGTTCTTTCTTTTGTTCAATACAATTAATTGTTAGTTTCAAGTTTTCTTAAATGAGTCTCCAGTAATAACGATAATTAATTGTTGGTTTCAAGTTTTCTTAAGTGAATCTCCGGTAATAACGATAATTAATTGTTGGTTTCAAGTTTTCTTAAGTGAATCTCCGGTAATAACGATAGTGATATAATCGATTATAGCATAGATTTCAAGCATCGTCGTTTGACATTAAATCTAATGTTCAAAAATCCGGAAGATGCCAACGAAAATTGCCTCATCCTGTTTGTAATTATTGGAGTAAAGCTAACCAGATTCAAAAGAACAGTAAACTAAGATCTAGAAAAAATGCAATAAGGCACTGAAAAATTTGATTTTTCTCTTACTACATTCATTTATTAACAGTGAAATAGGTGATTAATGCATTGCTAATGAGGCTAATTGGTTTGCCTTTTTATTTTCGGCGATTTTGTTGGCTCAACATTTCGGTTATTTTCTCTTTTTATTCGATGTTGTTCAATTCATTTAACTGTTACCAGTTAAACATTAATTACAGTTGCTTTTCTAATCTGCTGGATACCATATTTTTGTGTTAGTGTATATCGGGGCATATGCGCTGGTCTTGGTACAAATACGGATAAACAACTTCATATTCGACTTTTCGCGGTAACATCTTGGCTTGGTTACGCTCATTCTTGTTTTAATCCAGTGATTTATACGTGCCTTAATAAGAATTTTCGTCGAACTGTGAGGAAATTTTTCGCATCGTCAAGATGGCGAAGAAGCAGGAAGCTTTAATATAAGCCATAAATATAACTTATTCACACCTCTTATTGCATCTCATTTTTCTTATTGTGAAATTATGAAGAATCGCTACCATTTATATGCATATTGAGTAAACTGAAATCATGAATACTATTAAAATTATTGTACTTGAAAATAATGTATAGGCGAATATTCAAAATATTTTGAAGTAAGTTTGGAAGATACGTATTTGCCTAGTATTTGTACGCTTGTTATCAAATATCATGATAATACAAGTGTTGAACTTATCTTTTACCTTTCACAGCATAGTACCATCGTAATTTTAACATTACTATTCTAACCTAGTAGAGAAATTTGAAACTTATAATTCGTAATTAGCATAACTCGTCACTGCTACAAAAATATGAATAAAATTTATTCTTTGAACAAGAGCAATTAAATATTTATATGAATCATAAAATTTATTTATGGCTTTGACAAAAACATGACTGGATTAGAAAGAAAATCATTCATTTGAACATATAAAATCAAAAGTACTTTTATTCATTTGACTCAAGAAACATAAGAATTTTAGTATGAGAGGCCTTAAATTATTGGCATAAGGAGACGGAAATATGCTTTAAAGTATTCGTTTCTGCTGACAATATTGTGCAATTATTGTACGCGTGCTACAATAATTAAAATACGTAAGAAATAGGGAAAATATTTTAGCAGAGGTAATGAATAATAATTTAGGCCTTCAATAAAATAGAAAAAAAACTTTTCTTTCTTTCGATTTGATTAATTTTTTTAAAAATATGGCCACATTTTGGACACATTAAAGTATTTTTTGCTTTTAAATCCTTTCGACATTCGTTTGAGAGACAATTTTGACTATAGGCAGATTGCTTGGAATCGTTCTTTATGTTAACAACCCCAAAACGCTGCATTCCCGCTGCATTCAAACTAAAAATTTATAACTAATTTTTGTATAAAGTATCATTGGTGAAACGAGCCAATCACAAGGCTTTTATTTTCGTTCATTAACGATTTTCATGTGATAAATATCTATTTATGATTTCGAATAAATTTATAGTGAATGTTAAAATGCAGTTTTTGGTTAGATTCGTTCCGTACTCTGACTCAGATCAGATAAATTTGGCTAGGGAATCACTTGAAAATAAAAGTGTAGATGAGTCGTCAGCTTAAACTTCACTGAAAGAGCAACAAGCTTATTCCTTTTGGGAGTAGAACCTCAGCATTGACGATTCTAAATAAGTAACAATCCATTGAGCCATTTTACTTCACTTTATTTTCATCATTGCCCAGTGAATTACAGTGCATCGACAGGAGAACACGAGCTGTTCCCGATATTTCCATTGTTACCATCTTGCTACTAAGCCACCGATGAGCTGGCAAAACATGTGAGTACAGGACAATGCGATGTACCATTCAAAAAATAATTCAAAAATCTGGCGATTCACCTATACCGCCAAAGATCCGACAAACCAGTGGAACAATCAGAAATAATGAGCGCATAGAAAAAACAAACAGCTGTTGTAAATAATCTTAGTCTCAAATGGAAGAGAATTAATTTTTCGTGCACTGTAAGATATATTGAAAATGGTTAACGAAAACGAAAAATTAAATCTATTAGCGATGAAAATTCCTAATTGAATAGGCCCTCTATGCTTTGTTCAAGAAATTTAGACCGATCATCCACCTAATTTGAAGCCATTGTTAAGAGTCATTTCATCTAATAAATCTAAGGTTTATACTGGAAGAGTCCTCTAAAGTTAGTCCTTACGTAGAATAGAATATTTTTTTGCATTCGTTACTCTAATAACACTGCCAGCTATGCTAATTTCTCTTGGCTTATTAGTTGAATGATGAAACTACCTGAAAGTGAATTTTCAACATCAGTATTAATACTACTATTAGTACCTCATCATTACATATTTATGAACTGATTTTTTTTTTCAAACAACATTATCGGTTAGACTCGCTCTGCTGGCTTATCGTAAATGTGCCAGGGAGGCCCTTGGAGATAGAAATACAGGTGAGTCGCCAACATCAACCAGATTTTTGGACAGGTTTACTCCTGCGGAGAATAGAACCTCAGCGTCGGCATTCCGAATTGAGCAACAACCCACCGAGCCATCCTATTTTCCTTTGCTTTTCTCGGAGGCAACACTTCTGCCGACGAAGAGTGGCAATTCGGTGAAGAACTCAAACCTCGATTCTCGCTGGCAATTACCTTGTCACTGAGCCACACATGAAATATCTTACTATTGATTGCTAGTGAAAACTTCATTTTCACCTTTGTAATAGAAAAATACAGGCAAGTCGCTTGCATCACTCTGATTTTTGGGCAGCTTTATTCCTGTAGGGAGTGGAACCTCAGTGGAATCGACGCTCCGATTTGAGCAACAACCCACTGAACCACTCTATGCCCCCATTTAGTGAATACGAGATTAATTGTTACAAAATCAATCATCCTCAATTGCTTCGAAAACTTATCGTTATCAGTGAATGCAGAATAATGCATTTCTTTTTTTGCAAGAATTATCTCTTTATAGGAAAAAAAGAACTCAAAGTAAACTTGAAATCAATCCTCTTAGTATTACCAAGAGAGTGGGAACTGTCTGGCATATTTGTATAGTGCGACAAGCCAGCGGAGCGAGCTTAACCAGTAATGGTAAAGACCCTTTTAAAAAAACTGATAAGAAAAATATCAATAAATAGTTGAAAAAAAAAATTAACTAGCCTATTATTATTTGTTCGAACTATGCGTTCACTTACTAATGTTAAACCTTTTCGAAACTGAGTATTAAACTGAGCATAGAAAATCCAGTTTAAGGCTGCACCAATGAATGGAAACATATGACAGATATACTGAAAGATACTTTTTTTATTTAAATTTTTTTATTGTATAATAAAACTTTTAAAATTTAATCAACAAAATCTTCTCTTTAAAAACTATTTGAGCATTCTTGTTTAAATTTCATCGCAAAATATTCAAAAATTTCCTGTAAAGCTTTTTTAAAAAAGTGATCTTATACGATGCTTTAAATTCAAAAAAATTGCGCTAATAACCGTTAAGAGTAAAATTTGTGGCGATGATTTGATGTTGAGTGTTGTCATCAACATTCCGTATATTTGAGTCAACCAAAATGGTGTCTGACACATAAAATAAAATATGCTAACAACCAATGCATATGAAGTTATTCGCCGAATCGGTAATCTTGTTTGTACAAATGCTCTAAAATAAATCGCTTATCGTTTTAAAAAAATATAGATTTATGTCATTTGGTATGAACTGTGGTGAATTTATAATAATAAAATTATAAATTAAATAATTTCATTTCTTTTAATTTCCGATTTCATTTCCTTTAATTTCTATATTTCTAATGTTAATTTATTCTTTTAAATGTGCAAAAAAACTTATCAGTGAACCTCTTTTGTTTTCGTAGAGTGAATATAATGTTGCTATAAAAGAAAGCCATTAAGGTGCCTGGCAACAAGAAACCCAAAATAAATACACAGAGTGACACCCAAGTTCTTACTTTTTTCTTCATACCATCGATACATACTTCTTTAGAAATATTTGTTATATTCTAAAAGTAATAAAACTGTTAAAAATATAAAAAATATTATGGATAGATAAATAAAATATCTAATTTCAAACCATATCCGCCCATTTCTAAGCAAAAATTTTATTAATAAAACCTTCGAATAATATGATTAAAAATAATAAAAATAATAGAAAATTCCTTGTGAGAAGCAAGAAGACAAAGAATGAATGAAAAATGATATAGAAAAAATTTGCCAATTCATACCCCGTCAATTTTAACATATTTATCGCCATAGGCAATTTGTATAACTTTTGCTGAATAAACAACAGGCAGCAACAAAATAAGGGCAACCACAAGTAGTCCGATTATGATAAAAATTGTTTGTTTAACTCGATGTATCTAAATCTCTCTCTTCACTAAACTAAATATGAATTTATCGAAAATTTCTTTAATATTAAACTTTTCATATTCATTTAACGATAGTGCAAGCTCGATTAAGCTTATTGAATTCCGTCACAATTATAGAATTGATCGCGAAAGCATAATAAAGATTGACCTAACCAATTATGTGGAGAACCGTTTCACCAAAAAAATATAATATAAACCGAGTAAAAAAAGATAACTTTTTGATAATTTCGCCATTTAATCGAGTAAAAACGCGTTTAAAATTTTCAAAAACATCAGTAAAAATTCTTGTGAAAATTCTCATAAATTTCGTTTCCAATATCGTTAATTTACTGATTCGAAAACTAACAAAAATTTCTGCTAATTGTAAATTTTTAACTAATTTAATGGTTTCAAAGAATTTTTTTTGGCCATTTTGGATTTACTCGAATTTTTTTCAATTATTTTATAGAATTTTAATTAATAATTGAAAAGTTTATTATAAGAACATAATTTTCTGATAATTTTCCGAATGAATTTTTCAATTTTTCAATATGCAATTTTATGAAAAATGAGAATAGCTTTTTCATATGAATGATTAGCATTATTAAATATTTGAGGCATAACAGTCTCTGTAATCTTAATAATAGAAACCGTCAACAGGATGAAATAAATAATTATTGAGTATTACCCTTCCTATTCCTGGATAGCAGATACCCATATAGCGATCGAAAGCCATAGCTGTCAGAATGAATGTGGAACAAACCTGAAACCAAAACAAAACAAACATTTTCTACTAACTATTAAACTAGCTAAATAATTTTCCAAGAAAAAATCAGTATCAAGAGGAATATTATGAAATCCTACCAGCCATCATTTTAAAATATTGTTAATTCATCATCAAGACTCATCTATGGATGATCAATTTATTGATGAATAAAATACAAAAGTTGGTTGAAAAATTATGCACAATTTCAAAAATATTATTATTCTGCAGAAATTTGCATTAAAATGATGAGTAAAATTAAAATTGATTCATCGATTCCGATATTTTCTTCATCCGATTCTTCCAAAAGCCGATTCTCTTATCATTATCAAGCTTTTTCACTATAAGATCATTTAATTCCAAAAACAGTCGCAATAATGGTCTTTAAAAGATGTGAAACGAGCCTTCGCATACACATAATTAATCAATTATTAATTAGTACATCGTTAAAAGAGCGACAAATCCAAATATTAATAAAAAGAATTAAAAATATATTACAAAAAATTATGGCAATTTAGAAAACTATTGTGACTGAAATGGAATATACGTATAAAATGATTTTGCAGTGGAAAATGATTTTCTTAATAATTTTATGACCTATAACTACTGAATAATTCATTAGCAAATTTACACAAAGTATTTATTAACAACGAGCAAAAATGCGATTAAGTCCACGTCGAAAATAACTGAAACTTATTTCGGTAAATTTAGTCATAGACGAGTTCCAAAGTGAGTTGAAGATTTTTAGATATTTGAATCAGGACGAATGATTTCCTAGAGAAAAGTTGGCTAGTGGTTTGGCGATTATCTTACTTTGTTCGATATTTCCAGAACCCAATAAATTTTACATGCGACATCGCCAAACAACCAATTATCGAGTATGACTGAAGTCATATGGAACGGTATCGACATCATCACCATTGTATCAACAAGTGATAAAGCGACAATATAAATAATAGTGTTACCGAGGGCAAGAACGAAGGATTTCAATGATCTGTAAAAACCAAATAATTCATTCATAACGATATGATTAAATTTAATAAACGAATATTTTTTAATTAATTTAATTCTAAAAATAGGCTGAATAAAGAAAGAAATAAACCAGCCATCATAATAAAAAAACCTACCTGGTCAGAAAGAATGCATAAGTAAGAACAGCTGTATTGCCAAAAATACCAACGATAAAAATTAGTGAATAAGGGATAGCAACAATCGCTAATTGGACACCGTGAATTGGTGGAGGGGGACTCGATATCCTGGAAATAATTTTGTTTATATCAAAATTATTTTTCAATGTGAACAAAATAAACTTAAATACAATCACAATTGAGAGAAATCAATTTTGAATCAATAATTTTTTTAAAAAATGTAAAAATAATAATTAATTAAAAAAATAAAAATAAAAAATCATAATGTATAATTTTTTGCACATATACATGGTTGATGTCAAATAAAACCTCTAAAACAATTTCTAAATTTTATTCAAAATTTCTCAAATTTTTTTCATTTTAAATTTTTTTAAGATTTTTTTAATTTTAAAATTTTTAAATTTGAAATTTTAACTTTTAAAAGAGAAAATTGTGATAAAAATTAGCCACAAATAAATTTGCCAAGCAATATCAACCATATTTTTTATATACCATATTTAATTAAACTATATTAAAATCCATTATTAACCTTTCTTTATTTATATTTCAAATTTAATGATTGAATTTTCATTGTAAAAAAATTGAACAATACTAATATGTGATTTTTTAAAATACATTCGAATCATAGGAATCGTACGAATGGAGAAATAAAATTATAAAATTAGATTTATATTATTATTTATATTTATATTTAATTATAAAATTATGAGACTTATAACTCACCCACTATTTCGCGAAAGAACTGCTGACATCGAATGATTAAGAAGAATGTTTGTAGGCAAAACTAGAAAGTAAATAGATGATACAATTAATTATTAAATTTTATAATAATTAATTATACATAACGGATACGATTTATGAATAAAGGAAAAGCACTCAAACGAATCGCATTCGTATATTTTTGCAAAATAAATTTCATTTTTTTTTTTTAAATTTTATATCCTCGTTTTTTTCGAATCATTCAAAGCAAAAGCCATATATAAACCAATAGCTTTTTCAGCGAATACTGTAACAATAATTACGACAAAAACAATTATCAAATGCACTAAATGGTTTTTGCTAAACCTATGTCAGTTGCATATATAATGAGAAGAAAAAGTTGGAGATGGAAAAAAATTCGTTTAGTGTACTTTTATAGTAAGTCGAAATATTTCTAAAATGTTTAACACAAAATTGAAATATAGCAAATCGAGACAATTTTTATATAATTTTCTCATTTTTCATTTAGCCAATCTACTTATCTTAACTATAACAAATTTGTAAATCGTAGCTAGTTAAATCTGCAAATTAATATAATATACTATTTTGAATATCAGAGAATTTCAAATAGGCAAATTCCAATGATTTATATTTAATTTGGGTTAAATGATATAACAAATAAAAGATTTCTATAAAGCGTTATGTTCGTCGTGTATGCAAGATACTGATAAAAAACCTATTTTTATCAATTCATTATCGGTAGAGGAAGTGTCCGACTTTAAATACCTTGGATACACTCTAATCCGAAATGGCCAGGCAAAGAATGAAATTGTGACCCGGATAACGACAGCTAGAAATATGTCTTTCTATGGAACCATCGCGAAATCACCATAAAGAAGAAAATCCGTGCTCTTATAGCTAGAATTCATTCGATCTTGCTAGCTGCGAAACATGGCCAATGAGAATGGAAGATATTAATGAGCTATTAGCTTATTGACCACTGATGTCTAAGGTCGAACAGATAAAATTGCACATGATTGCATCCATCTTCGCTCAAATACCACCTGTATTAATAATGTTATTACATGTTATTAGCGTCGCCTTTGCTGGCTCGCCACGTTCTCCATCATATATCTCAGGAATTGACGTACATTTCGTTATTTGCTAAATTCTGTGATGGTTGGCTTCAAAGCGATAAAGGCCAATCAAGACCTGATACAGTCAGGAAAGATTTTGAAAGAAAAGATATAGAAGGACCAGCCATACATGGACTTAGACGATAGTAAAAGGAATGATTTCTATTATCATAGAGATGGCATCGGACCAAGCAGCTTGGAGACGTCTTACTCTTATTGCCAGCCGAGCCAGCCTAACCACTAATGGTGAAAGTTGTAGAAGAAGAAGAATTTACTCATAGAATAAACTTCAGCAAGATGGCATCTTGCTTCAGTTGGAGGAATTTAATTTAATTTAATTGTTGTTTTCATGCGAAATGGTAGTCTTAACGTTTCATTCAACACTTAGTAGAGGCAAATAAACCAAAAATAGTACGTGTTATTACATAAAAAGAAAAAGAAAAATAAGATTCTTCTGCGCTATAAAATTGAATTTCAAGAAAATATCTCAAAATCATTTATAGTTAATTAAAAGTTTGTTAAAAGTTAAACATTTTTGATGAGCTTCTTTAAATATTGACATATTGAAAAAAGAACTAAATTGCGAGTTTACGATAAAAGTTGACACGAGTAAAATGGTAGCAGTAAACCCGACCGAATCATTCTCCATGAAAAAAAAAAACTATCAAGTTAAATATCTCACAATTATATTTGGCTTGGAATTCTACTATAGCAAGCAAAGACCATAGCTTTAAGCTATTTCTACAAATCATTTAACTTTCTAGTAGATGTATGTCGATAGAAAATAGTAATAGTAAAATGGTAATGGTAATAGTTAAGTGGAATAATAATAGATTTTTAGATGGAAAATATTATTATCAGTAAAAGCTGCTATGCTGTCGGAAAGGAAATTAAAAGCAAGTTTTCATCGAATGCGAATCAAATTTTTGCTAATTCCATTTGGCCAACTTGTGTACTTGTCTCTTAACTATAATATGTATCGAGATTTAACGAACTTGTTAAATTTGCAAACTATCATCTAAATTTACTACTTAGAATGTATTATTAGCGAAATATATAAATCAATAAAACTGAAGTTCACAGAGTGATCGAACTCTCATGAACTAGAAAAAGTTTCAAAACTTTTAATACAGATTTTATAAGATGTTCCTAAATTACCTTGCGTAAGTACATATATATATATACCAAAGATGTGAAAAGTAAAGGCCAATTTCCGTGGTAATTGGAGCACTTGGAACACGTATAATTAGCACGTGTAATTTCTAAGCTAGAAAAGTGTCTTCGGCAGATTCCAGAAACAACATCAGAGATCTCTATCCAGAAGTGCATACTACTAGGAACAGCTAAAATACTGCGCAGAACCCTTAATCTCCTATCTAGTAGAGGACCCGAAATTGAGGTTGGTAATCAACACCTACAGGAAGTGAGAAGAATGAGGCAATAAGAGTCTTCACCATTACTGATTAAACTCGCTCCACTGGCTTGCCAAATTTGAGGCAATATGCCAGGGAGTCCCTTGGCGATAGAAATGAGTCGCCAGCATCATCCGCATTTTTGCACAGGTTTAATTCTGCGAGAAATCGAACCTCAGCATCGGCGCTCCCAATTGAGCAACAGCCCACTAAGCATGTTTGGTTCATTTGCACAATATACTTCAATAATTGAGAAACATAAAGATTTCGTTTCGCATTCTCTACAATATAAATGGAAAAGGACTGTTCACAGGGAGTAAGAAAAAAGTTATAAATAATAAGAACTGAAATGGTAGTTGAAGGTTCAGCGCCGTAATAGCGTAGTGATTAAGGCGATTAATGTGGAGTCTATATCGCAGCCAATCCTCTCTATGTTTCCAGTGAGGATTGTTGTGATTGAGACCTTTTGAAAGCTTATCTGCATTACCCCGGTCGTCTTGCAGAAGACGTACGTGATGAGGGTGACTTGAACCACTCACAGGGAAGAGGGCTTTTTAAATTAATAATGGACTAAATCGGTGGCTTAGTGGCAAGATGATTTTCAGCTATAATCGAAAACGGCTCGGATTCAAATCAGGTCGACACATAACGTTCTGTCGAGCGACAATGTTGCCATATGGCGAAAGTAAAAGGAGAAGGAATGGCTCAATTTGGAGCGATGTTGAATTATGAAACCAGGATGGGCAGCTATGATTATTCTTTAGCTAATTCTCAAAGTAGATTAAGGTAAAGCTTCGTAACTATTGATCTTGATAATGTGATCGCCAGAAGCTAATCATTACTTAATGTAAATCACATTACCACTAATAAAATTTTATTCCTGCAGAAATTAAGAAATATTTGGAACTAAATTTAGGTAAGAATAAAAAGCTTATCGCTTGACGTTTGCAAGTAAGTAAGCAAAGGATATAATCCTTGGATAATCGTCAGGAAAAATTATATTTTAAATAGCTCGAGTGCAAATTTTTAAAGGGATATATTTATTTTAAATAAAAATACAAATTAAAGGTTAATATAAGGCTGTAATTGTATATATTATAAAAGGGTAGAGATAGAAATGGAAAAGATTTTGAACATTTAGCTGGACCAGCAACATATGGATTTAGACAATGGAAAAAGGAATGGCTTTTATTACTGACGACGATACCACCAGACCGCGCCGCTTGGAAGCATCTTAGCCTTATAGCCGTTGGAGCCAGCCTAACCAATAATGGTGAGAGCTGTTAGAAGAAGAAAACGAAATGAGAATGAGGCGAACTGAGGTGATTTATGACTAAAAATCATTTAAAAAAAAAATGAAATTTTCAATTTTTTTTAAAGTAATTACTAATACAAATTAGTGTAAAATTACTAGATGCCAAAATAAATAATAGCTTAAAAATAAGGCTATAATTAATCTAAAAATTCAATTATCTTAATGCAAAATCTTAGTGCAAAACTAAATATAATTGTAATAAAATGAAGGAATTAAATTTAAAATATAAATAAAAAATTTTAGCCAAATTATGCTATCAATTATGATATTATCAATTATTGAAACTTATTTTATCGAAATCTAAAAGCAAAGCTTCAAACTCATGCGATACATTATAATTCATAAATTTTAAAGTTAAAATATAAAAATTTTTCAGAATTTGCTTTCATATTTTGCAATTTAGCGAAATTGCTAAGAAGCAAAAGTTTTTTTTCTTTTTTAATTTTTTCAATTTTTTCAACAGGTTTCTAATGCAATCCCTTTCATCAATTTTCATTTTATCAACTTCTTTGGTTTTGTTTGTTTCAAAATGAATTTTTATTTGTTTCAAAATGATTCTCTTCATCACTTATATCTTATGGAACTTTCTCCGGTAAAATAAGATATCACAGCCATGAATTGTATATACGTAATAATAATATGAAAACTTTTTTCATACTCTCTTGGGTGGTCAAGATCAATCTTGACATGGGATTTTCTACCAGAGGACCAGGAAGATTTAGCTGTGTTCTCTTCTAGATCTCTGTTGTGGCTGCTGAAACCATTTTTCTAGTTTAGACAGTTCCATATGCTGCAAATATCACTGGAGTTACTTTGGCCTTTACTTTGCGTATCTTCTTTAGTTCTTCTTCCAGCCTTTATTATTTCTGCTTCGCAGAACTTCTCATATTCTTTCATCCTGACGTTCCTGCCACTAGCTTTCGCTAAATCTAT